GTTAAGTGAGTTTTGCCCCATTTTATGACCTTTCTTGCCACAGTTGTGAAGTGAATCACTGCAGGCATTCAATTCGGAATATAGTTGTTAAGTGAATCTGGTTTCCCCATTGACTTTGCTTGTCAGAAGGTCGCAAAAGGGGAATCACATGACCCTGAGACACTGCTACCATCATAAAGATGAATCCGTTGCCAAGAGTCCGGATTTTAATCACGTGACAATGGGGATGCTGCAAAGGTCTTAAGTGTGAAACACGGTCATAAGTCACTTTTTTCAGTGGCGTCGTAACTTCGAACAATCACGGACAAATGAGCTGTTGTAAGTCAAGGACTACCTGTATTCTGTCCATAAACAGGATGAGGGGGATTGGAATCAGTCCTTGGGGCAGTTCAGTGTCTCCATCTTTTTTCTAAGATGTGAAAGGCTAAGCAAAGGAGGAGGCAGTGATGTCTCCAGTTCGGGTCTGAGCCTGGTGCCGAAGCCAATGAAGGACGCCAGGCACCAGGTGCAGGTTTTCTGATTGCCTTTTTATTGAAGTACTCCAAGGAAAAGGGCTCCTGGCCAAAATGCCAAGAAACAAGATTTATACATTTTCACTAAAGGAGAAGGCGGGACAAGGTGAGATAATAAGAAATATCATCTAATAAACATTTTAGTAATGATCTAACAATTTGTTCTATTGGTCTCTATCCATCCCTATTCCTTAGCCTTGGCTAAGGAATACTTAGTATTCCTTATTCCTTGGCTAAGGAATACTCCAGGAGGTATCTAATACACATTCTCTTTGCTCCAGGCCATCTCTATTCCTAACTTCTAGCTGAGGTCTGCAAGACGCCTAACTCTTTGTAACTTTTATCATTCACCATTTTTACTTTCTAACTACCCAGAATCGTTACAAGCTTTACACATGCATATTTCCTGTGGATAAGCAGTTTTTGTTCTTGCCAGACAGACTCCACAATTACAGGCTTCCTGGTTTGCTTTCAAGTGTGTGCCATGACCTGGCTTTATTTTAGCAGGCAGCCCATCATAAGCCTTGTTACCTGGGATCACCAGGGCTAAGCTTAGCATGAACAATATTGTGGCTGCAGGTAAAAAGACTTGCACTAAGAATCAATGTTAGGCAATGATGGTCAAGTGGGAGTTTTGGGCTACGTCCAGAATTTGATGCCCACTTGCCATAATATAATTTTTATGATGGTGATTTCTAACACATGTCTAAAATTGCATTTCTTTTGTGTGTGAGGCCAAGTTAAGTCATCTTACGTCAACCCTCATTGGCTGTACCATGGAAGTCCATTGAATTAGGTCACTTTGGCTCAAGCAATTGCTAAAAGTTCTTAAAAGCTTCCTGAGGGTAGCAACAGTACAATTTTTGGCAGATGATATTGGCCAATCCCCTTGTTTAGCAAAAGCAGCCAAAGATCAGGATTGTAACTGCCTTATGGAGACAGGGAAATTGGGTAACATCCTTGCATTGTTGGGAGCTTACTAATTGTTCTACACAGTACATATGGGTGCCTCCTCAAATTTTAAAGTTCAGTTGACCAAGCAGAATATGGCTTTAATTTTGCAAAAGTACCTAGAATTCTTTCTGCAGTCTAAGAAGATCCCTCTCAAAACAGAGGCAAATAACTTCTACAACCATACAGGTAGTCCTCAACAGTTCAATTAGTGACCGTTCAAACTTACAAAAGCACTGAAAAAAGTCACTTAGAACCATTTTTCACACTTAGAACCATTGCAGCATCCCCCATGGTCATGTGATTTACATATAGATGCTTGACAGTGTCCTATTTATGACAGTTGCAGTGTCCCAGGATCGTCATGTGATCACCTTTTGCAATCTTCTAACAAGCAAAGACAATGGGGAAACCAGATTCACTTAACAACTTTATTACTAAGTTAACAACTTCAGTGATTCGCTTAACAAGTGTGGCAAGAAAAGTGGTAAAATGGGGCTGTTAGGAGGTTTGGTTATATCCTCAGCCCCTGAAATATTGCCCTCCCCCCCACTTAGTATTTTGGCTTAAGCCAAATAGCTTTAGCATGTCCAACTTCACTATACCATGGTCCACTATATTAATTGAATCCAACTGTTGCTATTTCTTTGCTGCAGGTTATAGGAACAATACCCACTGCCTTGCCAAAGCTATCATCCAGGTGTCGGCTGCCCTCTTCACCATCTACAACAAAAATATTGAGAGCCATCTCAAGGAATTTCTGGTTGTGAGTGGAATTCTTGCTCTTTCCTGCATGTGTGATTCCTCCATGGGTTTTCAAGACTCCCCAGGTCTCCTTTATTTCTCTAGATCAGTGCAACTGTTTGTAAACATTAGGAGGGCCATAGCTTAGTGGAGAACAACGGTCCTAGACTGTAAACCATTTCCCTCTCCTGTTCTGTCCTCTCCCCTCCCCTCCCCTCTCTCCTCTCCTCCTCTCCTTTTTCTTTCTTTGTATTTTTTCCACATTACTTTTTAAAAAAAAATTAATTATTTTGTTTGTCAAAATTTGTATTGTTTTTATTCTTTTAAAAATAACCCAAGGACTACCTTTTGCTGGAGCTTGATTTTAAAATCAATTTAAAAACATGTCTGTTGCATAACAAAATATTTTCAATGTTATTAATCTTTAAGAAACACTCTTGCATATCACCTTCTAAAACATTTGGAGCATGGCAATTCATTTTCATGAATGCTGTTTTGAATGATTTTTAAAAATCATTCTGGGAAAGAGAGACCCAAATGTTCTAGCAAACATACAGTAATGTATGACTAAAGATACTACATTTGTGCTGTGGGCCATTCCCTTCTCTTGCACACAATGGTTGTTATCAGTGTCATTTTTATAAAAAGGCAATATCTGAATTGCTCTCTTTGTTCTCTCCTTGCATCCACTTTTGGTTTATTCTATGGAAAATTGGTGGTTGGTTTGTTTCTTTTTATTTTTACTGCTGTGAAAATAATTTGTTTACTGAGAAAATAATTTCTTTCATTTGCTGCAGAAAGATGGAGACAAATTATATTCGGTCAGATTTAAGGCTGATAATCTTGACTGCATTTTATAAAATATGTTCACTGCGACAAAAATTATATATACATCTAATTTTTATGGTTAGGGAAAATATATATTGTCAATCAACTTCATTTGGTTTTTTTTAAGGAACTAGTATTTGAAATTGTATATATGCCTAGAATCATTCTTTCCTAGGTATATATTATAATATATTAATATATTACTATTACAATATTAATATATTAATATTGTGTGTCCAGTCATTGTGGCTGTTCAATAGTGCTTAGAACAGTACTGTATGTGAAAAACAAAAGTACTATAAATTATTTTCTCCTAGGCTAGCCAGGAGAAAAATTAAACTCCAAAAGGCATATACCTTTATTCGCCACCTGAAGATGTACCAAATGGTGTGCATGTTCAGGCTTTCAAGTTTCAATGTTTTCTTCATTAATCAAGGTGATAAAAATCCGGGGGACAAAAGGAGGGGGATTGAAGTGAAAGCTAGATCTACACTGTGCACATTACGCCCAATTTGACTTTACCTTCTGCTCATTTTTCTTATTTGGAACCATCTTGCCTGATAAAGAATTCTTGAACACTTGAACATGTGCAACTAATTTGTAAGTGTTCAATTGCTGTCATAAAAATATTGCCTCAAGAGGAGTTTGGGCCTTTCTGGTGCCCATTATCTCCTGTACACAGCTGGCCATTTTCTTTTGGTCTTCCTTAAGCCCATATGTCTTTCTGATAAGAAACCTACGTTAAGGTTCCGCTTCCTTCCCATCTGCGAAAGGAAGAAAATTCATGCAGGTCACGCTCAGAAACACTGCCTCTCACAGACCCAACATTTGGGCTGCTATTTGGTAAAAGAAAACAAAGAATGGGGAGGTCTGACCCAGTGATCTTCTTGAGATTTTTTCCAGTTGTCAGACACACATTTGCAAATTGGACATGGCTGTCTGCTACCCCTAATTCAGGGACCAGTTCCACAGTCTTGCGAATTCTCCTTAACCAAAGACATTTCTCCTTAGTAATATTTCAAGTGACTCACATCTTGCGCAACTATATCATCTCACACAAATGTTAAAAAAAAAAAGGTAAACTCACTGGCTATTAGTGATGGATAGAGGTGCCACTCAGCATGATGGCTTCCTTATTTCTGGCCTCCGGGAATCAGTATATCTGTTGATCAGATACCATGGCAGGTTGCAGTTTCTATCTGCCATCCTGTCAGGTGGAAAAGGAGTCATGGAATTCAGGAAGGCAGCTGTGGGCAATCAGCTTTCTTATGCAGTCCCTGAGCTGGTACCTTGCAGGTAAACGTTGCTACTCTTTTCCGCTAGGAGACTGCAGTTCAACAGGGAGAGCACAGTAGAGGAAAATTCTTCACCAGTTGTGCGTCTGTTGTGAATCCCTTAAAACAACCCCCCCCCCCTCCCGCAGTGAGATATTATGCTTTTTTAATTATTTCAGGGTATGAGAAAAGATAAACCCTTGAAGAGGCTGCCCCAATCAAGCAGAAATGCATTATCCCAAAGGTGCTTTTTTAAAGAGGTCACTGGACTTCCTTGGTTTTCTTTTAAGATGTTTCACTTCTCATCCAAGAAGCTTCTTCAGCTCTGAGTGGGTGGTGGGGAATGGGAGGATTTATACTTCTTGCAGACAGCTGGTCATTTGCATTGTTTTCAGAGAGTCGGTCAGGCCACTTGGAGGTTTATCTGTGTCCTCGGAGTCACCTGAGTAGTGCAAATGGGCATGGAGCCTTCTTGGAACTGCTGAAAGGACTACAAATCTCATGTCCCTCCCCTTTGTTGAGAGAGGGCTCTTCAATTTTGACGTAGGGGGCCTCTTTGACCCCTCTTTCAAACCAGTGATCCTCTATTTCCAAAATTTACTGTCTTCAAAAGAGTGGCCTTTCTCTTTTAAATGCAGATGGACTGTTGAATCTTGTCCTGATGGGTTTGTTCTCCTATGTTGTGCCACTTCATAAATGCAAACCATCCAGTCAGAGCTGAAGAAGCTTCTTGGATGAGAAGCGTCTTCAAAGCAAAACCAGAAAGCCCAGGTGCCTCTTGAAAAAAGCATCTTTGGGACAACCATAACCTGGATGAATTGAAAATCTCCATATTTAGAAGTGCTTTAGTTTTTAACTGCATAATGCATTAGTTTTTAAATTTACATATCACACGCAAAAAAGCGTTTTTGTGGGGGTTCTGAAAAGAAGATGAATGAGGGTTTTTTTTTCTGCAGAATTTACAGTGTTTTTAAATGTTCTTTGTTTAAGTGATTTTCATTATTTTAATCACACCTGTGAAAAATGTGCATGCATTGAGCCTTTTAAACTAATTAAAAAGAAAAAAAGGGCACATGCCTTGACCTTCCTGAGCTGAAGAGTTTGCTGATTGCCAAATACAGTAGCCCTTGACTTACGACCACAATTGAGCTCAAAATTTATGTTGCTGAGTGAGACACTTGTTAGGTTAATTTTGCCCCATTTTACAACTCTTCTTGCCACCGCTGCTAAGTGGATCACTGTAGTTGTTAGGTCAGTAACCCAGTTTTTTAAAGTGAATCTGGTTTCTTGACTTTGCTTGTCAGCAGCTTGCCAAAATGATCATATGACCGTTATAAATATGAGTCAGTTGCTAAGTATCTGAATTCTGATTACATGACCACGAGGATGCTGCATCAGTCATAAGAGTTGAAACATGGTAACTCGCTTTTTTCAGTGCTGTTGTAAGTTTGAACGGTCACTAAACAAACTAAACGTAAGTCGAGGACTACCTGTATGGTTTGGAAACGCAGCCTGGTTCAGTATTTAACAACTGACCTGGGTAAGCAACCCAGAATGCAAGAAAGCAAGCAAAAGGACTGACAGAGGCAAATCAGATTGCTCCATTCCTTCTTCACTGATCAACTTTATTTCAGTGATAGTAAGTGCCTTCCCTACTGACCAGAATGGAAATATAGCAATGGAGAAAAGGGATTTGTTTCCGCATCAGCCTACTTAGTAAAAGTCCATTTAGTTCATTATCTCAAGTGTAGGCAGTAAGGCAGATGACCTTGTCAACAGATATGCAGAAACTGTTGCCTAGGCAAAAGAGGCTGAGGCATTTTAAAGTCCAAAGCAATGAGATTACTTTTGGAAATAGCTCAGGCAGGAACATCTCTCGATTTTCTGGATTATAAGAAGGAAGAGGTCCAGCACATTCATGCTTGCAAGTTTCTCCCCTTGGAGCTGATGTTAACCAAAATAGTTTTAGCCTTCCAGTGAATTGGTTCTTTGACCAGGCCTGCTTAGTGGGTAGAGCAAAGTCTGAGCTTGATGGGTTTGGTTAATCCTGTGTGATAGACTACAAAGGCTCTAAGCTGGTCGGGGAAGTTGGAAAAAATATCCAAGAAGGAAGCAGCAGTCAATTTCCATGTTTTGCCTGAATTCAACTCAATTTGAAAGATTGGGGGGTGGGGAGATGGGACAGGCAATCTTTTGTAGATGGAGGCTAGGGTGGGGGTTGCTGTTAAACGAGTAAAAATTGGTTTTATCCCATTGGTAGGCTCTTTGAATGTTTCCAGGAGGGGAAAAAATAAAATTAGGCTGTTAGTAACCAGGCTGGATTTCGTAGCACACCCTTGGACTCGAAATGCTTCCTTTCATTCTTACTTGACGGAAATGCCAAGGTTCCAACTTAATGAGCCCAACCAGTTCATCACTCCGAGACTCCCAGCTTTCTGAAAGAACCATTTTATTGAGTACATCATTTCAGCCTGAATGAAAATGAAACCAGCCCTAAATACTGTATTTCCCGCGGTTTCACTATAATTAAAGAATAGATAATTCCCTTCCTCATGGCCACATTGTTCAAATAGATGTCCTGACATCTCCTTTGGCAACTCCCCTCAGTCTCTGGCCAGCACCTGTTGAGATGACCTCGGTTCCCACGGGAATTGTCTGTTGTTGTCATCTGGGCTGACATTCCGGACTTCAACCTTCCCCCACCATGTGGCAATCTGAGAAACGGGAAAAATGGCTGCGGCAGGCCTGATCCGTTTTGAAGTTGATAGGAAGACTAGACGGGCTTGAAATTGACTGTCCTTGTTGCTAATCTTACCCTTCACCTCTTTCCTAATAGTCACCTGACTTGCTTCCAAAGTAATGGGGATAAATTTTAATGGATTTTACCATCCTTGGTGCCAGGAAAAAAAAGGGGGGAAATACTATTTTTATTTAAGGGTAACTCATGGGCACAGGATGACATGGTAATATAGTGTGGGAAAATGTTTTGTGGGTGTTATCCTATTGATGCAAGTTGGGAAAGGAAGATACCTTTCAGAATATCTCTAGAAAAAAAATGAAAAGTAAGTTATTCTGGAACCTAACTAAATCTTGTAATCATAAGATTAGCAGTACATCTTGCAGTCTTTACTTGTGAGGAAGGCTTTAATGGGAAATGCCCATTTCAATTTATGTATGTATTAAATTTATAAAGCTACCCATCTCCCAAAAGGAACTCTCTCGATATAGTCAATTTTCTCAAATGTTAAAGGGAATTAATTTGAAATAATGGAAGACAGCCCTTACCTACAGAGAACTGCTAATACAATCCATGAAGTCAGTCTGACAAAGATTTTAGTTGCGTAAATGGGATCCTGGATTTCAAAACACGCACAGGGAGGCTCTTTGGAGAGAATATTATGTGTAAGAAAGAGAGCGTTTGGCCTCTTGTTTGAATGTTGCTGGGTCAGTCCTTCTGGCTTTCAAAGCTATTTGTAAAACCATGAAAACCAGCTAGTTAGGTAACTTTGGGCCAGTAACTCTCTCAGCCCAACTCACCTCACAAGGTTATCATTTGGAGAAAATAGGTGGAGGAAGGTGTGTTGGATATGTTCGCCAACTTGAGTTATTTGTAAAAAATAAAGGCAGAATATAAACAAACAAACAAATAAACACTAGCAGGTTTAGCATTGGCAGAGGGAAAATGTTTCACAGAGCCCAGGATAGGGATAATATGAGAGACTTTCCTGCCTTTCCCATGGAGCTTTGGCCTTTCTAGGAGAGGAAGAGAAATGGATCTTATCTTCTTCCCCAGGAGAAACAAAAACAGTTTGGGAAGAGTAACGCTGAGGAGAAAGAAAGCTTATCTAGGAAGCCCTAGTGCAAGGGTCTTCACACTTGGCAAGTTTAAGACTTGTGGACTTCAACTTCCAGAATTCCTGAGCTAACATGACTGGAGGAGGAATTCTGGGAGTTGGTCCACAAGTCTTAAAGCTGTCAAGTTTGAAGACCCCTGTCCCAGTGGCTTTCAGAGCATTTGAGCTGCAGATAATAGATATGAAACCATGGACCTGAAGTTGAGCTCAAGGGAGCAATTGAATTTGTTGCTGCTGTACTGTCCTTCCTGCTACCCAGCAATATTCCTGCTTAAGCTGTTTAATTCTGTCATTGAACTCAGCCACTATCCAAGATTGATAGTTCTGGGAGACTTTGCTTGTCTTCATGGGAGAGAATTTGATGCAGCTCAAATTCCACATGGACCTGACCCAGGGAACTGAGGACTTAATACGCACCAATGGTCACATGACCTATGTAGGGCAACTGTGACATGATCTGAAGTTTGAAAACATCATCATCAGAAATATTAAATTTCTACTTATAGATGTAATAACAGAAAGCCTGACAGCATTTCCTCTTCCTCATCTTATATCAAAGAGTGCCAAGGTCAGATAATCTTGAGGTTCTTTCTCATGCATTCCTGTTTTCCTCCTCATATTTTACTAACAGTCGCTGAATATGTCCTTCAACACTACCTTTGTGCTGTTCCATAGCATCTGATGGAAAAAGTCACTTGGTTCCACCCTGAGTTAGATTCCAGCTGGACAGGTCCTGACAAACTGGCCAAGATACAATCTTGTCCTGTTAATGAAGAATTGTTCATTCTGGGATTCGTGAGGAATTGGAAATGATCTTCATGATTGTTAATCCAATTACATGCTTATTAGATCCATGTTGCTTGTTTAAGGCTTCATAGGAGGTGACAAGTGGCTGGCTGCATGTGATGGTAAATTCACCCTTGAAAGAGAGGGTGGTTTTGCCGGCCTTGAAGGAGTCAGTGGCGTGCCTCGTCTTCAAGAAGCTGTCACTTGATCCAATAGGTTCTGGATAATTTTCATCCAATCTAGCATTCTGTTTTGGGGGAAGGTTGTTAAGAAAGGGGTCGGACCACAGCTTCAGAGGGCCCTTGAGGAGACAGATAATATGGACCATTTCAGTCAGTTTTCAGGCCAAGACACAGTACAGACACAGTGTGGAATCCCCTTGGTAGTAAAGTCAGGATGGGGATGATAACAATTGTCTTCATTCTTCTTGAACTCTTAGTCAGTGTATCAATCCTATCATTCTTCTGGACTAGAAGAATGGGAATGAGAGTTATGGTTCTGCTGTGATTGTCCTGCTTCCATTTGGTGTTGGCAAGTGGAGAGAGGTCCAGCCTGAGCCTGTGATTTGTAGGTTGCCTCAGGGCTCTATTCAACCTCTACATGAAATTGCTGGGTCAGGTCAAGAAATGACAGGAGGTCAGGCATCATCAGTATGCTGAAGATCCACAGAAGCATGAGCAGTTAGAGGTGACTCTTGGTATGCCCATGTAACACTTCCACTACTCCAGCTGCATTAGTTATCAGTTAACTGCTGAATGCAACTCAGGATGCTTATTATCACTTATGAAACCATTCACGACCTGGTTATCTTCCTGGGACCAGCTTTGTCCTATCATTTCTGTATTTCTGTAAGCATATAAAATCCAACACAACAGGCGCAGATTATGTGTCACCCATTAAGCAATTTAATATGACGGGACATAGGAAACATACCTGCTCTTTGGAATGCTCAGACATTTAAATTCTTCCAACCCACACAAGCTTTTAAATTATCTCTGAAAACCTATTACATTTTCTCAAGCTCTGGGATAGGTTGGGGTGTGCCCAGCTAATGTGCAGTATCTTTTTGGCTATGTTCCTCCGCTACATTTACTTTTATGTTATTTCTTTTGTGTTTTAGGTACTGTGTCTATGTTTAATCTGTGCACCACCCAAAGTCAGTGTTGAGTTGGACAGCTTTATAAATCTAAATTACAAATAAATAAAATGTCCACTTCAGACTGTGGTTTCCATCTGAAAATAAAAGACAAACTTGGTAGCTATGCTTGGTCCTTAAAACAGGGAGGTGGCTTATCTTTTGTTTAAGCATGAGTGCATTTTGTAGCCCACCAAAATAATTTCAATGTCTTGTTCTGTGAGGTCTAATAAGTGTCTCAAATTGACCAGTGCTCTCTTTTGGAAAAGAGTTTAGACCTGCAGTTTACATTTTAATCGTTTCACTTAAACCTCACAGTTTTAGTTTTTGTTATCATGGGGAAACCTGGCTCAAGTTCTGTTATCTTTCCTTTGTCTCCACAGCTGGCTTCTGCTAGCATCTCACAGGGAGGGCAAGAAGTTGACCGGATGAAAGCCAAGAACTGGGAGTCCATCTCATTGCTCCTGTACTTGGTGAGTATCTTAAAGGTTAGGCTATTAGATGGGTGTTTCTTTTATATTGTGCTTCAAATAAATGAGAATCAGATTATATTGCTTTATCTTTTTTTCCCCCCGAGGTAATATCTGGAGACAGAAATAAAAACTTCTAAGGTAGAAGTGAGTAACTTGTGACCTGCAAAATGTGTTCAACCATCTCCCAGCAATAAAAACAATACAAACAGCGGTGAATGATGCTGTTTGAGGTGTAGTAGCTGGCAGGCCAGACAGTCCCTATCTCTGCTAAAAGCACAAGTTTGTAGAAGCCAGGAGTAAAGTCTGATCCAACAGAATGGAATGGAATGGAATGGAATAGAATAGAATAGAATAGAATAGAATAGAATAGAATAGAATAGAATAGAATAGAATAGAATAGAATAGAAT